ATCCATCATCATCATCATCATCATCAATCATCATTATTATTATCATTATTATTTGTTAATAATAATTTGTTAGTGATGTTCATGGTGATGTAGGTTTTTGGTGGTGGTATTGTAGAAGAGTCAAAGATTTCGAAGTTGAGAGCCGTGATGGTTGTAGTTTCTGATTTTTTTGTTTGGTTTTATTCTTTTCTTTTTCTTTTCTTTTTTATTATTTATTCATTTATTCTATTTTTTCTTTTCTTCTTTATTACTAATTCATTTATTTTGAAAAGTGGGATGTCGTCATTTTACTAGAAGTTTCCAGATGGAAACTTAAAGTAAATGTTAGTATGTCGAAAAGTTTTGTAAATTCACTTTAAGATTACAGATAGAAAAGGGATATTTCGTTAAAAAAATTGAGCTTTTATATTAGGAAAAGTGTATATTTTGTCAATATTACCTAAGTTTATCTTTAGTACAGTGAGTCCTCTGTCAATCTATTTAAGTTACACCACAATGCATGAATGATTATAAACACTAGTTTATATTAAATGGAGAGAACTATTATATGCAAAATAGATTCAGATAGATCTATTTTGGATATATTTCTTAACATGTAAGAGTGTAAGAGGCTACCACATGAAGTAAATAGCAAACAACGTGTATTAAGTGACGAAAAATGAAATATGTAATGTGTTGAATACTATCACTATGTATTCGTATTAGTATTGATTTTGTGTATTATTCCTACAGATCACTAGACAATGAAACATTTCGTGGAAACACTTGATGTCTGTTTGAAACTCGATTTCAAAGTTTCATCCTAATCGAATAAGTTTACATTCTCTCTTGTGCAGTATTGAGACAGAAAACGGAATCATATCTTAGAGCAATTCATGGGTAACTATTCTTATTCTTCAGAAATGTTTTCGTACCATATTTTTCATACAAAACATTCACATAACCAAATGTTTATAATAATGTTACTTACCCAAGGCCGAACATGAAGCTACTATACCGTTGGCTAAACCTTTTCGCTTCTGGAAGTACAGAGGAATGATGGCGAACCCGTTGAAAGTTGATAGTGAACCGGCAATACCTAGAGAAAGATAGACGGATAAATAAATAAAGTAGATAAAGTATATATACATATATACATGCATACATACATATACATATAAAGAGATATAGATAGATAGATTGATAAGTACTGAGACATCTTCATCAATAACAAGAAAAAAAAAACATAGATAGATCCCCCCCTAATTAAAAAAAAAAAAATCATAAAAAACACCCCTTAAAAAAAAAAAAAAAAATAGATCCCCTGAAAAACAATTACAAAAAACACCCCCTACCCCCACCCCCCCCCTCACCCACCCCTCACACCCCCCCCAAAAACCACCCCCTCCCCAAAAGAAAACCACCCACACTCCTTAAAAAAAAAAAAAAAAAAAAAAAAAAAAACAATCCTACCCATACACTCCGCTTCCCTTCCTCTACTCACCCCCAAGAACGGAGTAAGAGAAGGTAAACGACGTCAGGTTCGTGCTGTAGGCGGAGAGAAGCATCGTCAGGAAGGACAGAAGGCCGCCGACGATGGTCACACTCCGGTAACCAAACAGTTCGGATAGCGGGGCCATGAGCAGGGCTGGGGGAGGATAGGAGGGGTTGGGGGTTAGGTTTTGGTGGTGGGGAGGGATAGGAGGCGTAGGTTTTGGTGGTGGGGGAGGGATAGGAGGGGTTGGGGGTTAGGTTTTGGTGGTGGGGGAGGGATAGGAAGGGGTTGGGGGTTAGGTTTTTGGTGTGGGGGAGGGATAGGAGGAGGTTGGGGTTAGGTTTTGGTGGTGGGGAGGGATAGGAGGGCGTTTGGGGTTAGGGGTTTTGGTGGTGGGGAGGGATAGGAGGGGTTGGGGGTTAGGTTTTGGTGGTGGGGAGGGGATAGGAGGGGGTTGGGGTTAGGTTTTGGTGGTGGGAGGAGGGATAGGAGGGGTTGGGGGTTAGGTTTTGGTGGTGGGGGAGGGATAGGAGGGGTTGGGGGTTAGGGTTTGGTGGTGGGGGGGGATAGGAGGGGTTGGGGGTTAGGTTTTTGGTGGTGGGGGAGGGATAGGAGGGGTTGGGGGTTAGGTTTTGGTGGTGGGGGAGGGATAGGAGGGGTTGGGGGTTAGGTTTTGGTGGTTGGGGGGGGATAGGAGGGGGTTTGGGGGTTAGGTTTTTGGTGGTGGGGGAGGATAGCTTAGGAGGGGTTGGGTTAGGTTTTGGTGGTGGGGGAGGGATAGGAGGGGTTGGGGTTAGGTTTTGGTGGTGGGGGAGGGATAGGGAGGGTTGGGGGTTAAGGTTTTGGTGGTGGGGGAGGGATAGGAGGGGGTTGGGGTTAGGTTTGGTGGTGGGGGAGGGATAGAGGAGGGGTGGTGGGGGTTAGGTTTTTGGTGGTGGTGGGGTGGAGGGATAGGGGGTAGGAGGTTTTGGGGGTTTAGGTTTTGGTTATGGTGGTGAGGGATGGAGGGGTTGGGGGTTAGGTTTTGGTGGTGGGGTGAGCGATAGGAGAAGTTGGGGGTTAGGTTTGGTGGTGGTGGAGGAATAGGAGGGGGTTGGGGGTTATGGTTTTGGATGGTGGGGAGGGAGTAGGGGTTGGGGTTAAGGTATTTTGGTGGTGGGGTGGGGGTTGGTAAGGGTGCTGATGGGGAGGGATTAGCGGCGGGGAGGTTGAGGGAGTTATTTTTTGCGGGGAGGGAATAAGGAGGGGTTAGGGGGGCTGTAGGTTTGGTGGTCTGGGGGTCGACGGGAAATTAGGAAGGGTTGGGGGTATAAATAGGTTTTGGATGTGGGGGGAGGTGATAGGTAGGGGCTTGGGGGTTAGGTTTTGGTTGTGGGAATGGGGAATAGGAGTGGTTGGGGGTTAGGTTATTGGTGGTGGGGGAAGGATACGGACAGGGGTTGGGTAGTTGAGGTTGTTTCTGGGTGGATCGAGCAGTTAGGGCAGGGATGGTACTAAGGGGGATCATGGTTAGGGTTGGGGAGGTGGGTGGGGCGAGGGATTAGGAGGGGTTGAGGGGGTTAGATGTTGGTGGTGGGGGAGGGATAGGCAAGGATGGGGGTTGAGGATTTTGGCTGTGCGGGGTAGTAGGATATGAGGGGTTGGTTAGGTTTTGGGTGGTGAAGGAGGGATAGAGGGGTTGGGGGTTAAGGTTTTGGTGGTGGGGGAGGGATAGAGACGGGGTTGGGGGTTTGAGGTTTTCTAGGTGGTTGGGGGAGGGATAGGAGGGGCTTGGGGTTCAGTGTTGTTGGTGGGTGGGAGGGATTTGGAAGGGTTGGGGTTAGGAATTTGGTGGTGGGGGGGGATAGGAGGGGTTGGGGGTTAATGGTTTTGGTGGTGGGCGGGAGGATAGGAGGGGTTGGGGTTAGGTTTTGGTGTGAGGGGGAGGGATAGGAGGGGGTTGGGGAGTATAGGTTTGGTGTGGGGGAAGGGATAGGAGGGGTTGGGGGTTTAGGTATTTGCGTGGTGGGGGAAGGTGAATCAGGAAGGGGTTGGGGGATTAAGGCTTTTGGTCGGGTGGCGGACTTAGGGGATACCAGGGAGGGGTTGGGGGGTTTGACTAGGTTTTGGTTGGATTGGGGTGGTGGTTTGTTGGTTGGTCTTGGTGGGTGGGAGGCGGGTAGACTTAGGTGGTTGTTTTGTGGTGGTGGAGGAGAGTTTTTAGTGCTGGCTGATAGTACGTTTGCTGGTGTTGGAAGGAGTTGGTGGGTATGTGGTGTAGGTTTTTAGTGTCGGATGTTGTGGTGGTAAGAGTTATGGTGGTGGCTGCTTCTGAGGGGCTGGTGTGGTTTGTATGTTTTTCTTGGTGGTGTTGTAGGTTTTTGTGTTGTTGTGGAGCAGGTTGTTAGTGATGTTGTGGTGTTCTAGGTTTTTAATGGTTTTGTAGGTGGTGGTGTCATTGTTGTGTTATTGTTATTATCATTTATTTTAGTTGCTGCTGTTGGTATTGGTATTATATCTATCATTGATATTATTTGTTATTAGGGTTATTCTTGTTTGTTCCATAATATGCTAATCATATCATTGTTGTTGTTTTGTTATTAATGTTAACTCATTAATCATTCATATAATTATGCCTAAATCATCATTATTACCCGATCACTCATAAACCACAGCAGGATAATCATACCATCAATATATACAATCATCATCACCAATCATCAACTAATATCACCATCATCACCCCGATCACCATAACCCTCCTCCTTACCCGTGAAACTCCACACAGTGCTCAGCAAATTCCCGATGATGGTGAACTCAGTCGCCCCCGCGCCCATCTCCTCGAGGTGGTCGCTGAATAACACTCCGAAGGCCACGGTCACAGCGGGGAAAAAGAACTGGAGGAGGAGGAGAAGAAGAAAGGGGGAGGAAGGTTATTTTGGTTCTGTTGTTCTGTGTTTGTTGTTGTTGTTGTTGTTGTTGCTGTTGCTGTTGTTGGTTTGTCTCTCTTGGGTGTGTGTGTGTGTGTGTGTTTTGGTTGTGTTTGGTTGTGTTCTTCTTTTCTGGTTCTTTCTCTTTTGATTTTTCTCTCTTTGGCTCTCTTTGGCTATTCTCTTTTCTCTCTCTCTGGCTATTTCTCTTTCTCTTGTCTCCTGTCTGATCTCTCTCTCTCTCTCTGCCTGTCTGTCCTGTCTGTCTGTCTGTCTCTCTCTCATCCTCTCTCCTCTCTCTCTCCCGATCTCCTCAACCCTCTCTCCTCGCTCTTTTCTCTCCTCTCGTCAATTCTCTCTCCAACTCTCTCTCATCATCCCTCTCCTCTTCTCCTCTCCTCCTTCTCCTATTATATCTATCGTATCTACTCTGTCACTCTGCATCGGGCTTCGTGCTCGCCCACACGTACCTCGTAACCTGCGTTCTGGGTCTAGAGGCCGGAACGGTGTAAGGGCGTCTTTCCCGGCATCTGAGGGCGGGGCTTATTCACTGCCTGCGCTGGATTGTGGAGGCTCTCCGCTGGGAGTTTTTGAACCGGATCTACAGGCGTCCAGGC